CACACACACACACACACACACACACACACACACACCACTGCATTTGTGCCATGTTTTCAATTTCTTTCTACATCATTCCAAATCTATTTAAACTTCTAACTTAACATATGTCTTTATCAGAATAAGTATTGCCAAACCAGAATTCAAAATGGTTTTACTAATTTGTAGTTGCATTGTCAAATAATTAATCCAAATTAATAACAGGCTGTCATATGGAAAGTGTAGAGCTGATAGAAATACTACGGGTTTTAAATTAAAGGTATGATTCTTAAGTCAGCCTGTGTTTTAGTAAACAATATAAATGTTTATGATTGTTTGACGCTCTGTTTTCTGTGTTGTTATATTAATAGCCACATAGGGGGGTTGGTGCCAGGAATCCAGCCTTAAAATGCAGCTGAGGTCTGTGAGGGAGATTGGGGGAGGGGTAAAAGGGTGAGGAAGGGGCCACAGAGCCAGGGAGGAGTTCTTGGATGGACGGATAGATGGATAAGTACTTCCAGTATCTGTGTACACAGATTTTAGCAGTTGTACGTCACTGTGCCTGATACAGTCAGCTGGCTAAGCCGGGGGAGTCTCCAGACAGTGTGTACATGTCAAATGTCTTCGTCATGGGGATAAACCAAACTAAACCACGCCCTCTACAAACCTTCATACTTCTGAGCTTACACACAGAATCACACTTTCACTTATTTAATCATCAGTAAAAGTGACTTGCTGGATCTAGACCAGGCTGCCAACCCTGGGTCTCAAAAGTGAAAGTAATGCAGAAGCGTCTCAAATGTAACTGATTGCTAATGGCCAGCTGTAGGAAACTCCACTGGATGCAAAAGGAGTGTGATTATATCAAAGTTTATGAGGTAATGACTGATTATGTCGATAACCATTTTCAAGCAAGAGCACTCGATCCAATCTCAACCTTGCAGTAATGTTGTGGATCTCAACCACAATATCTCTGTCTAGATATAGAGCAGTTATCGCCCACACAGTTTATCAATTTCATTAATCTATCATAATAAACCTCTGAAACTAATGAAATTGTCTAGTTCTAGGATAGATGAAAGCTACAGATGGACAGATGTACAGATTCACAAGTACGGGGGAAAGCCACAGTATTAGAATTTTCAATACTTCAAGGCCCAAGTTAGGATTGCAATCTAATGATAATACTCACATTTCTAAAGATGTTTCATTCTGTAAAAGGAAAGAAGATTGGCAGGTGAGTGTTATTGGCTTATTAATTGTAAGATATTTTTCATGGGGGTGCAGCTAGCTTGTAGGTTTAGCCAATGTTAGCTAGCAAGCTAGTGGTACTTTTCCAGGTGGTTGTATTTCTGTCTACAAACATAGACACAACGATGCAAGATGCATCCAACAACCTTTACAAATGTGTAGGTGAGATCAAATAAAGGCTGATTATGAAGATGGGTGTGGTTCCGAGCAAGATTTCTGAAGTTGCGAATTGCTCATTACTAGCCTAAATTTAGCAGTGTACAGTTGGCTCTTGTGTTTAGGGGGTTAACCTACGTTTCCTAGCCCTGACGGGAGCTGTGCACCTCCTCAAAAACAAAACCATCTGTTAAGCTAAGGTGGCTACAGATAAATCACGTGCTTGGGCTGCTTGTGTTTTTTCTTTTGCATCCTGGTGAAGATTGTAGATAGTGAAGATAACATTAAGGAATTTGGTGAAATGGCATCTTGAGATGATATTCTGAGTTTGAACGTCAATATAGAATTTCTGGCAAATAACTTTCCACTTTTGGCAACAATTGTTTCAAAGACGAGGTTAGAGTGAGTGGGTAGCTTCTGTCTCGCAGCAGTGGTTTTGTGAGTACAGATATTTGTGAAATGTAAACCACACTACCCATAAATCATGTTACTTTTGGCAAGAAACTGTTTTAAGTAATTTTGTGTTTCAGCCACCACCAACTAAAAATGCCTCCTCAGTTTGTCCCAAAGGTATGACCGCAGGAAAACCTCAAAAGGATCAATTTACTCGAGTTAAATCACAAAATGATGAGGAAATGTACGTATATGACATCCATAAAGCCTGACTTTTTTTTTAAAGAAATCCCCTCTTACGTAACATGTGATGCAAGTGCTGGACTGAGCTATAAATCAGGCACACATAGTGTCAGTGAATTGATAACGAACATTAGATAAACCTCTGTCCTGTCAGAGCTAATCTGATCATTTGCATACAGTATGTACAGTACACACACATGCGTTGAAAGAGGAATGTACTATCTAAAGCTCTGCTGCACCATTGGAGCCTTGAGTTCTACAGGTGTGGTTTGGCAAAGTATTTTTAGGAAAGAAGGAAAATTAAGTGTTTTTGTGACAGTACATGAAACGGATAGATAAAGAAATGTCATCGTAATTGTGTGAAATTTCAAATAATAGTATTTTTTTCTCACAAGCAATCTTAAACATGCACTTAAGTATGACATTTTCTTAAGATTCACAAGAGACAATTAAGAATGTTCAAAGTCAAGCAAAAGAGATTGACAAATTACTCTTAGTCTCTGTTAAGCTCGTAAATACACAAGAATCCTACATTTCTCAAAATGCAACTCAGTGTTGGCAAATCCCCAAATCTTTCATACTCCACGACTTAGTTTGTATCAGAGACTTTCCATTATAAAGTTGACAATATTTTGATATTGGAGGTGTTCTGGTTTCCGTTTGTACTCAGTTTGTAGTTTGAGTAGTGTTGAGCAACCACGTTGATCTAATAATATCGCTTTGACATCTATCCATTTTCTCAGACATGTCAAAGCTGTGCAGTTCCAATTTACCTAAAGATAAATGTTTGGGTTAGAGTTTTACTCTCTATACCGGCATATGACCACCTGTTATCACATGACCAAAGTAACCACCTTAGATCATCTGATAACAACCGAGCCGCTGAACAAGATTGTGTGAGATGATGAACATTTTGAAAGAACCTTTTAAGTGCACATTAAGTTTGTTTTAGGTTTACAGTTTCTACTATAAGAAGTATAGCTTACTGCCTGAACATTAATTAATCAGAACCGATTGCCAATGCCTCAACCAATCACAAGAATGTGTCATATCTGCACAAACTGTCAGCCCGTAGTTAAACATTTGTGGAGTTGAGTCAAGGGTGCGGGTAGGAGACGTAGAGGAATGAGTCAGAGAGGAGGGTCGATTCTGTAATCCTTCCATACTCAATGTATTCCCAATGAAGCACAAGAAGCCACACAATGGATCATTGAGATGGCTACTTTGCCACTGTAATTGGCAACATTTTGTCTGCAGTCTTGTGTGTGTGTGTGTGTGTGTGTGCGTGTGTGTGTGTGNCATTGACACCCTCCATCAGGAGGGTAAGACACAAAAAGAAATTTCTCAAAGAGCAAGCTGTTCACAGAGTGCAGTTTCAAAGCACATCCACAAAAAGTCAGACTTTTTGTGGATGTGCTTTGAAACTGCACTCTGTGAACAGCTTGCTCTTTGAGAAATTTCTTTTTGTGTCTTACCCTCCTGATGGAGGGTGTCAATGACGGTCCTCTGGACAGCAGTCAGATCAGCAGTCTTCCCCATACTTGTGATTTAGTTTACTGAACCAAGCTGAGTGTTTTTCAAGGCTCAGGAAACCCTTGCAGGTGTTTCGAGTTAATTAGACGATTCAAGTGATTCGTTGAACACCCTACTAGTATACTTTTTCATGATATTCTAATATTTAGAGATAGGATATTTGAGTTTTCTTAAGCTGTATGCCATAATCAGCAATATTAAAATAATAAAAGGCTTGCAATATTTCAGTTGATTTGTAATGAATCCAGAATGTATGACATTTTTGTTTTTTTAATTGCATTACAGAAAATAAAGAACTTTATCACAATATTCTAATTTTATGAGACAGTCCTGTAGATGTTTTTTATTTTAAAGAAAATTCAGATTGAACATGGTAAAAAACTGTAAATTATAGTGTCCGTCCAAAACATATTTTGTACTTATAGTGAAAAGAAACTAACCTTGGATGATGGGTTAGTAGACTAAAAGCTTTAGGAATCCAAAGTACAAAATATAATAAGTACCCTGTATCAAGATTGATGCAAAACAAGTGATATTTGACCTTTTTAGATAGATTTAGCAAAGAAAAAACTCTTCTGGGCCCATTTGGGTGGATTTTCCATATCTCTTGCCCCCCTTGTTCGATTTTGACATGTGACATCTCTTTCTGACCGTTAGAACCAATAGAATCCAAGGGAAATCGTCCCGCACACTGTCATGTAAAAAAAAAAAAAGGAGGCGTCTCTGCGCATGCTAGCTTGCAGCAGAGGGGAGAAATATCGATGCTCTGATATCAAGCAACGGAAAAGCTGTTTTATTGCTAATGGATTATCAGAAAATTTCAAAGGGGACGCAGTCACATTGGATATTAACCTATGGATTAACTACAGAATCGTTTTTATCGTTTTAATGCCATTGAAGACCAGTTTAGACCAGACAAAGACGAATTTAAGCCATGTTAGCGTTGTGGGCTACCTAGCGCTACTTGTTTTGATGTACATTTTTGTTGATAACGTCGCTTTCAGTGTTGAGGTGGGCACCGTTAGATTCTGTGTCTTTACGATCATAAACAATGTGTTGGATGTGCACCTAGGATAAGTAATAAGGGAGCTAGGAGTGATTATCGGTGCAGTAATAGGTTAGCATTTTTCGCTCAGGGGTCATTTAGATGCTTCTTATGAGACTTGTGTTTTGTTTTGGTAAAAATGGTTTCTATCGTCAGTTAGCTGAGATTATTCCCGTTAATCTGGTATAACACATTAATAGGTTCTTAAATATTAAGATCCCCTGAGACACAGTGCCGTGAAAAAAATAAATAATAAATACCCGCCGGCGGGGACCTTGGGGCTTAACAAGTCATGTATTTTTTACCTCCTTCAATCTCTGTCACTACTTTTCTCTACGCACACAAAAGTCCCCCACTGCCACAACATCACCAAATCTGCCTTTTCTCTGTTCCTCTGTAGAACATCGAAATCCAGAACTTCTCGTCCAGCTGGAGCGATGGGATGGCTTTCTGTGCTTTGGTCCACTCGTTCTTCCCCATTGAGTTTGACTACACCTCTTTGTTGCCTGCCAACCGTAAACAGAACTTTGAACTGGCCTTTGGAACTGCCGAGTGAGTCATGGTGATATCAGAATAACCTTTTAGGAGTCACTCTGATATGATGAAAATTAGGTATTTTAATTAATTAGATATTCATTGTACAAGTATGCTGATTAAGGTTAGCATTAAGAGCTAACATTAAAACATGGTGACATCTGATCATATGTGAGACAGAGCTGTTTCAGAGGCTTTTAACATTAACTAGGCATAACATACACCCAGCTGGAGCACACACACACACCCACAGCCTGGCTGTGGGTCTGTGTGTGCGCTCGGACCGGGCCCTGGCCGGGCCTCGCCGTGTCCCGCTGTCTCAGGCTGAGTCCAGGCTGAGAAATCCGCGGAGCTGCAGCTGAGAAAAATAAGGCTGGCTGAGTGTGTGTGTGTGAGGGGCTTCGCCGATTGGTCCATTTGGACCAATTGGTCCATTTGGATCGTCGTTACGTCACTTGGTTCCCGGAAGAAAAAAATGGAAAAAGAAAATCTCCAATGAGGCGTTCTGGGGCAGCATAGACAGGTATTTTCTGTGTTAAAGTTTTACTCCCTACAGGGTGTACTTTGAGGGTTTGTGACTCTGCAGACCGTTTGCATGCATAAAAAGCTACATAACACACAAGGGGACGGGTAATAACCGGAAAAGCATGACATGGGACCTTTAACACCGCTGATATTGATGTTTTACTTTCAGTCTGTTAGATTTGGAGTTTGATAAAAATATTTTACCTTATAAATATATATTTTTTATAACAGAAATAAACATTGTTTTGCAATATATTAACCTACAAATTATTATATTGAAATTCAAGAATAAAGTATTGGCAAAATAGAAGTTTATTTTCTTATTAAAAAGTTTTCCTTTTTTGTTTTCAATTAAATGTTGCGAAAAACACAGCATGCAGTATAGCTAGGACAAAGTTAGCCTAGCTTAGCTTAAAGATCAGAAAGAGGAAGGAAATAACTTACTTAATCTCAACCTAAAGTGTAAACATACACATTTCAACACATCATGAGTTCTGTAAAGAACACAATTTGTAACAATTCTTGAGGGTTATGTAGCGTAATCACTCTTTTACACATTTCTTTACATGGTAACTGCTTCCCCCTGCTTCCTTTCTTTAAGCTAAGCTAGCCACATCCGGGCTGCTCCTTACTTAACAAGCACACATGAGGTATCAATCTTCTCATGTAACTCTCCAGAAGAAACCAAGCATTACCCAAATTGTTAAATTATTCCTTTAAAGCCTCAGTAGAAATTGAGCTACCATGAACTCATTGGTTTCATTATACAACAGCAAAAAACATTTTTGTTGGTCAGTTGTGGTTTATACATTTCACTGAAACAGCCTTGAAGTTTTTATTTGGCTTGACTGCACCAACAATTCAATACTTAACTTTTTTGTGGTTTTTGTGCCTCTTAATGGGTTTTCTTTGTTGCTTTTGTTTTATAGACCTCTTTATGCCAGAACATTTTATATGGTGATGCTTTTGCTTTGACGTGTTTGGTGAAAGGTGTGCTGACTCTATTGCTTATGGTTTCCACAAACAGATACTATATGGCCATGTACACACACTGTATATCACGGCTTAAAGAATGCCACTCCATTTACATTAAGACTGTGTTATTCTATGGCCGAAAACACTGCTGCAGAATTAAGCTGATTTGACTGAAAAACAATATTCACTTGCTCACAGAATCAATCCTTTATTGGCAGCTTTACATTTGCCCCCTAAAGACTTATACGGCTCTAGATGTAGATGAATTATTACGCTATATATTTTATACTTAAAGTTCTCAAAACATGTTTGTGAGGGTGTAAAGGGATAGCGTTTTTATTAGTACTGTCCAAGACACAATATTAGATGCAGAAAAGCGCTTCCACTGATACATCAGGATGATATTGGCTGTTTTCTTATATTGGTATATTCATCAAATCTGTCACATCATGTAGGAGCTGAAACTATAGAAAATAGAAAACAAATCATATCAATTCTTATAGGTGAACAAACACTATCCATTGTCTGTTCTTTGTCACTGTAAAGTGGCTACATTTTCACTTTAAAACCGCTGATTTCAATGTCATCTTGTGTTTTAGCTAATTGTGATATTTCAACAATTTCATGACCTTTTGTGCATCAATAGACAAAAGAAAGCTTAAATTGAGTCTGTGGCATCATAGAAGTGCCATAAAAAATAAAATAATCAAGAAGTATAATTTAGAAATGTAGAAATATGATTAGAGACAATAAAAAAATAACATTTATTTCCACATTTAATCTATTAATTTTTCTAAAATTGAATGTAAATTAGTTATTGGTTTTCCTTTATTTTATTTTTGCTTTTTGCTTTTGCCATCCTCTCTGTCTGTGACTCCAGGTTGAAGGCCGGCTGTGACCGTCTGATCGAGGTGGACGACATGATGATCATGGGTCGTAAACCGGACCCCATGTGCGTCTTCACCTATGTCCAGTCCCTCTACAACCACCTGCGCAAGTTTGAGTGAAGCTCCAAAGCATCTAGCTTCAGACTTGACATTTTAAAACCTCTTATTCTTTCTATTTACCAAACTTTGAGCAGAGTGGAGATCCACAGCTGGCATGGTGGAGCACTTTGGAAAGACTACACTGCTCCCTGGTGGTGGAGTGATGAACTTTACTCCACGTGCTGCAGGAAAAGTCATCACAGAGGCCCAGTGGACAGTGACTCATGGGATAATACTGTGTGTGCTGTGATAGTAACTGTTTGTCTGGTTTGGTTTGTCAACAGTTTTGACAGTGTGTATGTGCTTGTGTGTGTTTACTTGAGATACAAAAAGTGCAAATATATTCTGTATTGTATAAATCTTTATATTTACGCACGTGTTTGAATGTGGCTGTATTAACCTTCATATTGCTGGATTTATGTTTTAAAAAAGTAACTGTATACCTAAACTTTGTGTTTGCGATGAAGCGCTGGGGCATAAAAAATGATATGTTGCTGACTTATATTTACATTCACATATGATGTGATACTCAGCGATTGAGATGAGGATGAGACATGGAAAAATAACTGTTTGACAACTACATTGTGTTCAATACTTGGCATCAAATAAACTGTAAGTATCTGTATTTTATTCTATAAAAAGATTGGTTGTGGCCCAGTGCAAGGTTAGTGGTTGGAGCCCCAAACCCTACTGGGTATACTATACATTTTGAAAGAATATGATTTTATATGATTTAAGTGTTTTTTCCTTGTGTCACGATATTAACAACTTTACTATTATACAGTGTAGTGATACTGAAACAAGCTTTTGAATAATTTTGGTGATTTTCTTCTTGTGAAAACATTCAATAACTTTATTGTTATTATAAGTTTTTTAATGCATGTTGTGCTTTCAAAATTACGCCGCACATCACCTGTCTCCTGCTGGATGCACTAAAACATTTATTGTAAAGAATTATGATTTGGAAACGTTTTGGTGAATTTTGTCTTGAGCAAAACTTTTAATAACTTCACCATTATACGGCAAGGTGCTAAGGTAATGGTCTTCTGTTGGTTGTACTATACGAACAAGTTGGGAAAAGCTTCCTTTTGCATAATTGGTGAATATTTCTTGTGTAAAATATTCAATTACCTTACTACACAACATTACACTACACATATTAGACGGTTTTATCCAAAGCAACTTTGGGCAGTGCCCACAGGACCAATTTGGGGTGAAGTGTCTTGCCCAGGGACACAACGACAAGCTGACTGCACTTGGGATGGAACCAGTACTCCCCTGATCTGTAGTTCAACGCACTAACTGAGCCACAGACTCACAGTGTATTGCTACCAAAATCCATCAACGGCTTGAATACACTTGAATATCATGGGACATTTTGCGTTAAGTATTTGATAGCAGAAGACCCTAGTTTCCCATCAAAGTACTGAACCGGCCCGACCCTGCTTAGCTTCTAGGACACATTGAGTGAGCTTTGATCCAGTGCCATTGGCCTCAAACGTCTTGGTAGCCTTGTATTCTGTGAACACAACTAAATCAAAGTTTTAACAACATCTTTGTTACGATATTTTCTTGGCTCTCAACACTCCTACGACGGATATACAATCTATCAATTTCATTGTGTTTTGTATTATTTCTCTTCCTCTCACAAGTGCCACTTCTGAAATGTTTTAACAAATGTAGGCCTACTTGTGTCTTTAACAATATCTTTGCTATTATAATTCCTTTCCCAGGCAGTCCCCAATCGAAGCATTGACCCAGCCTGACAGTGTTACAATATCAGACGAGATAAGGGTTTTTGAAAGTGTTACAAGATCATAAGCAAAAAGTCAAATGAAATGCCAAAGATTTGTGTTTTAAACAAAATTCTTTTAATCCATCCCCCGCTTCTTTGGCCCCCAGTGCAGTTCCTGTATGAGTATTTTGTTACGTAAAATACTTTAAAAAAACGATCATTGTCATCTTACGTATAAGAATATGGTTTCAATGAGGAAAAGAGGAAAAGTGTCTGGATGGCTTTGGCTCAAGGAGTAAATTAATGTCTACCACTGGGGGTCAGTAGTTTGACTCCCCAGCACGTCATAAAAGAGTTACAAGATGCTTTAGACCTGTCATTGGAAATGATGGTGAGAGGGCAAGTTTAAAGGTCCCATGTAATGGCCATTTCTACTGATCATAATTCCATTGTTGAGGTATATTAAAATAGATTTATATTGTGCAGTTTTCCAAACTCACATTGGTTTCTCATACAGCATCTCTATATAGTATGTGTATTAACTCTCTGTCCTAAACGGCTTGTTGGAGCTCCTCCTCCCCCCCGCTATGAGCAGTGGCCGTCTGCGAGTAACGTAACGGCTCCACGGACGTAATGTAACGGCTCCAGGGATTGGTCTATTTGGACCTATGGGTCCATTTCGGTATAGGCACATCACTGTACCGAGGAAGAAAACAATGGAAAAAGAGAAATCTCCAACGAGGCGTTTTGGGGCAGCATAGACAGGTCTTTTCTGTGTCAGAGTTTTACTCGCTACAGGGTGTACTTTGAGGGTTTGTGACTTTAGACCGTTTACATGCATAACAACCTTCATAACACACAAGGGGACAGGTAATAACCAGAAAAGCATGACATGGGACCTTTACGGCCAATAATGTGTGGCTTTTATTTAGCTAGTTTTAACATAAACAATATTCACCAAAATTGAGTGAATTTACGGAGTCCCTAAAGGGACAAAAAAAGAAAAAAAGAGAGAGAGAAAAAAAAGTATCTCCTAACCCGTTTTTTTTTTAGAAAGTGCGGTGCGCCAGGAAGTGGAGCACATAGGAGACAATTATTTAATTGCAGACTGTTATGTTTACGTGGGGAAATGACAGTGCATACATCATTTTAGATATATTTCGAACTCAGACTTAATTTTAAGGACATTTCTTCATTTTTTCTCTCTCTATTTTTTCCCCCATGTCCCTTTAGGGGCTCCGTAGTAATGCATAATTCTCCTAATCAACTTGTGTGTTCAGGGCCGTCCCTCCCTACAGGCCGATCATGCAGGCTGCATGGGGCCTCACATTGCGCAGGGGGCCTCGGCTTATGAGCTCGGCTTGTGCGCAGTTCATGTCAACCACAACACAGAGAAATACTGATAGAAATGTGTGTGTTGTTGATACATTGCTGACAGAGGGAACTACATTTGAATACAGATTTAAGAAATATCAGTTTTTGAGCATGTCATAATAAGCATGTTTTGTCTTGACAATATTACAAATATATTAATTAGGGCCGGGACTTTAACGCGTTAATTAAGATTAATTAACTACACAAAAATGTACGCGTTAAAAAAATTAATGCATTTTAATCGCACTTATTTTTGCACCGCGGAACGTTTCTCACTGGATGAGTTTCAGGGGTACCGATTATACTGGAGCACCAACTAACGTTCATGACTTCAGACAACAACAAACCACAGTGAACAATAGTCAAACATGAATGAAGAAGCTGATGAGACCTCTTTGGTTGGCCCCGTGGATGGGACATTTTGTTTTAAAAAACGGACGGATGGAAGCGTCGATAAGAGCACGGTTTTGCAAATTATGCAAAAAGGAATTTGCATATCACCGCAGCACATCAAGCCTCAAGTATCACCTCAATGCAAAACATATAGCAGCTAGCGTGGAAGCTAGCGTGGACGTTAGCCCGACTCGGAGTACAAGGACCCACACCCAATTTGCGTTGATCAGTGGCCTATGCAACAGAGAGATTTTATTTTTCATCAGGATATTGGAAGAATAGGAGGGATTGAGGTCAATCACTGGCACTTTTTTATTTTATTTTAAATGGTACAGTACACTTTATGTTGAACTATTTATTATGTTGTTGGTGCAACTGGCACTTTATGTTGAACTGTTTATTGTTTTGGCCAAGGTTATTGAGAGAGTTGGACTGAAATGTATTAGATTTTTTAAATCAACTGTTGGTAAATCAACAAAGTCTGTTATGGCCTCTGAAGCAACAGAGAGATGTTTTCTAATAGTCAGGGTTTCCAATGTTCTGAATGTACTTGAAAGTATTGTGTTTTACTTAAAAAACAAAGTGTTATAGTTTACAGAAGGTCTACCTACCTATAGGCTACCTGAATCTCTGAAATGTACTATATTCCTAAATATGCTATTGCTACACTTTATGGCAAAAATTCCACTTCTCTGTTGGTCTTGGTTAAGTACCACCTTGAAAAAAATAACGATGTTTTGTTGCTTAAGCTTATGTATTCAGTCATTATTCAATGGTATACTAAAATCCATGTGAAAAAAATTGCTTCTCACTGTTCTCAGGTCAAATATTTATATGTGATTAAAAATGCGATTAATTTAGATTAATGAATTACAAAGCCTCTAATTAATTAGATTAATTTTTTTAATCGAGTCCCGGCCCTAATATTAATAAAATAATATAGTATTTGTATTATTTAATTGATTATGATTAAGATTATTATTAGTAGAAGTAGTTTATTTGAATTAATTATATTAAAAACTGCTCTGGAGATGTTGTCATTTCTCTGCAAAAGTGAGTTACAGGAACTGTACCCAAATCTCTGAATTGCCCTCCACATTGCAGTAACTCTTCTTGTTTCATCTCACAATGTCGATTGGGGCCCCAAGTTGGCCAGGGACGGCCCTGTGTGTGTTGTTCAACCAACAGAAGACCACAACGTGATTTTTCAAAAATATTTTTTTTCATAACTTGTGAACATGTAGTATAACCAAGAGGAGAGCAATACTATGTGTGGAGTGATTTTACTCTATCAGGGGGAATTATTTAGCCATTTCCACAAAACATCTTATGTTGATAATCATTACGTTGTAGCTCATTGTCTAATTTACAGTTGTTGAGAGTTTGTTTGGGTTTAAAATCATTTCGTTTTTTGGTTCGAATCCATCAATATATTTTTAACTTAACCGAAATGTATCCTCAAAACTCAAGAAATAATGCAATGCGGCATGACAACGTTTCGCTCGGTTCTCTCAAATTGGGTCAGAGGTGAACAACACCTGATGCTGGGTGTGGGTGCTGGGTGGTGGGTGTCCGATCTGATGGCTATAAGAGTCGGTCCCTCCTCCTCCCCTGTCAGCACTCTGTACTAAGGATGTCTCTGTTCATGGATTCAGACGTGTCTTCACTCAGGCAGAACCAGTGCAAAGACGTAATGGAATTTAAGACGTTATATGGAGAACCGGAACAATGTAAAGGTTAGTACAATTATCATTTACATCATCTCCTAAACAAATTAGTTGTCATCTTCTATTGACAGTAATATATTTCAGTTGAGTGACCACACCAGATGTAAATGAATCCTTGAATAAGATAAGGGAGCAAACGATGGAACTCTTTCAAATTAAATAATTCCTTTTGAAAAGAAATGTGGATCAATATGATATCGTTTAAAGGAAAAAGAGGGCTTCTAAAAATACATCAAAATGTAATAGCATTTTTTTATTTTCTCCCACTTATTCTTTTTTATTTTATTTTATAAACGCATATTTTTCTATTATTTTATTTAAAATAAATTCCCTTTTGCCTTTCTCTCAGACCGCCGCAGTGAGCGCGCGCTATCCTCCCCGGAGCCGGAGCGAACCGCGGGGCCGATGGAGGGCCAGAGGAAGAGGAAGAGGACCATCTTTAGCCGGGCCCAGCTCACCGAGCTGGAGCAAGCCTTCGCTGTGACTCCGTACCCGGACATCACCCTGCGGGAGAGGCTGGCTGCACACACACACCTTCCCGAGAGCAAGATACAGGTGAGTGTGTGTCTGCGGCTCAGCTCTGAAACTCCCCCAAAACAGAAAACTATATTTAGAAAAACAATTGCTGACTGTATTGTCAGGGACAATTATTCGTTGTGCAGTTTTTAGAATTATGTATAGTCTATAATATAACTGAATTATAATTATTATGCATTAATGTTTTTAACCCTTCAATTATGCATCTGGTGAAGGAGAGGCTTATTTTATTTACTTTACATGCTGATGGGATATATCTTAACTTTTATTTTTGTATTTTATATCTGTCTTGTTCTCTGTTAGCTTGTTTTATTTTTACATTATTCTCTATTCTCTGATTTCTTTTTACATGTATTTAAATGTCATTTTCTGTGTTTCTGTTGCATTATATAAAGCTTTTACTACTACTACTACTACTACTACTACTACTACTACTACTACTAATAATAATAATAATAATAATAATAATAATAATAGTTAACCCTGTAAAATATACATTTGAATCTGGAAGGTAAGAAGAAATAGGGGAGTCAAAAGTACAATATTTTACCTGTTGTAGAATATAGTATAGTGCTTAACATTGAAATGCTCAAGGAAAATACAAGTCCTATGCACTCAATGTTAACCTTTTTTTTATCCAGGTGTGGTTCCAAAACAGAAGAGCTAGAAGTATCAAGACCGTTAGAATCCCCAAGTCCACCAAACCCCCCCTGGGAGGGAGAGGTGATCCCCCCACCTCCGCCTTCCTCGGCTCCTCATCCCTGGCAGACATATTCCGGCCCGAGCAGAGCCACTGTGAGGAGGTGCAGCAGATTTACTCTGACTGGATCCAGATCTACAGCAACCCTGTGTCATCACCGCCATCTTGCTCCTCCCTCCACCAGCACCAACCCTGCAAACCCTCGGATTCTCATGTCTGGGAGGATGAGCACCACCCGCGGCAGCACCTGGGACCAGCACTCCCCGCCTTCCTTCCTGGTTCTTTTCCCCCAGCCCGTCAGCCTCACCCCTCGGCCTCCGCCCGCTCCTACCAGGCCTTCAGGAACTTCAAACCCCAGACTATAGCTCCATCCCCTCACCAGGCCGTGTACGGAGGCGGCGCTGCAGGTGGAGCCCACACCTCCATAGATCAGGTGGTCCCTTCCCACCATCAGCCGGTGTACTGGGAGGTGACTCAGGGCCAAGGACACCACCACCCGCACCACAATCACCACCCACAAATGGGAGCTCAGACCTCCATGGGCTACATATCAGACTTAATCTACAACGCCGCCATCGTCACCAACTTCCTGGAGCACTGATCAATCCGGTTATCCGGATGTGGAGGAAATAGTAGTTTCAGTGTCATGTTGGGAACATCCCAACCAGTCTGGAAAAACAAGACTGATATTTGTTACAAATAATATTAGCAACTAGCAAAAA